CCGCCCCGCCCTCCGCCCCGCCCCCACAAACTGTCGAGGGGCGACAATCACAGCAGCCGCTGGAGCCCGCAGCCCGGCCGCGCCAGCCCCCCGCACAGGTGCTCCGCGCCGGCGTCCAGCAGCAGGTTGAAGCTCAGCTCCAGCTCGGCCAGCGTCCGGCTGGCGCTCAGCCCCGAGGCAAGGTGTCTGCAGCCCTCCGCCGCCAGCCCGCAGCCGGCCAGCCTGTGGGAGACACGCACGCTGGCCCCGGCCCCTCGCCCGCCGCGTCCGCGGACGCACGCCGGCACCCGCCGCAGCACCCCAGGGCGCAGCCTCGGGGGCAGAATGGAAACAAAGATCTTTGTCGATCAGAGTCTCCCCCGTTTTGTCAAGTGCTCAGAGTTCGACTCAGGGTCCTTGTCCACAGGACACTGGGGACCTGGCTTCTTGTCATATCTGTCTTTGTCGTCCATCCCTTTTAGCTCCGTCCTCACCGGCCTGCTTGTCGTTCCTTAAACATCCCAGGCTTGGCCCTGCCTCAGGGCCTTTGCACCTGCTGTTTGTCTTTTACAAACATTTTTTTATGTTTATTTTTGAGAGAGAGAGAGCAAGTGGAGGGGCAGAGAGAGAAGACACAGAATCCGAAGCAGCTCCAGGCTCAGCTGTCAGCACAGAGCCCGACCCGGGGCTCGAACCCACGCGTGAGATCATGACCTGAGCCGAAGCCGGACACTGCACCGACTGAGCCACCCAGGCGCCCCTTCTGAGTCCCCAAGAGCCTTCTCTGCCAGACTCAGCATTCTGGCCGGAACGGCTTTGGAGGGGTCACGGGAAGGCAGGGCACAAGGCCGGATCTGCCCTCTTACTCTGTTGGCTCGACCTCAGTTCCTTCCTGCTCCCCTTTCTCTCCATCTCTCCGCGTTCTTTCCTCCACTTCCCTCGGCGTCGAGCCATCGTCGCCAACACCCTACACGTGACCTTCTGTCTGTCACACCTTCCCGGCTAACCCCGAACTCGCCATTTTCCTGCTTCGGGGCCCGACGCCCACTACCGCCTGAGCAACGGGGCAGGTGGCGTCCCCGTGAGCCACGACTCGCTCATGGGCCTCCGCAGTGTCTGGACGGCAGAAACACCCCTAACAGCGTCTACACCAGCCAGAACGGCAGCTTCCCCCCGACCTCCGACGGCCGAGCCTCACACTCGGAGCAGACGACTCAATTCCTACGTCACAGAGAAAAACGAAGCCGTGAGATGGAAATCCGCGGCCCCCAGAGTCCAGCCTCCGCCTGCCTCCGTGCGCCCCGCCCCCCGCCCCCCTGCCTTCCTGACACAGCAGAGCGGCGCCCCTCCGCTCCAAGGCCAGCCTGCCCCCTGCGGTTTCTGCTCTCTAGTGTCTTTCACGGTCAATTTCCAAAGTCAAGTCTTTTCCTTCTTAAGTCTGAGCAAGTATACACACGCATGCACACACGCGTGCACACACACACGTGCACACACACGAGTCTGAACAAGTACACACACGTGCACGCACACACACAAGTCTGAGCAAGTACACGTACACACACGCACACAGACGCGCACACATGCACACACACACGCACACGCACGCGCACACGTGCACACGCCCGTCTAGCTGCTCCCACTTCGCTCTCTGCCTCAGTTGGTTCCTGTTCTTCATCACCGGGGTCTGTACTGTGGCGCCACAGGCCCGGCCGCGAGGGAAGTGCGCTCCCGGGACCTCCCAGCCCGTTCCAGGGCCACCAGCCCACACTCACCGCAGGGTCTCCAGGCAGCAGGACGGCAGCCTCAGGGCGTCACAAAGGGCCTGAACCGCGGACGGGCTCAGGGGGTTTCCACTCAGGTCCAGCTCCTTCAGGTTCCCCGTGGCCCGGAGGGTGGAGAAGAGGAGCCGCCAGCCGGCATCGGTGACCGGGGCCCAGCTGAGCCTGGGCGGGGGGGGGACAGGCGTGACCTGCGTGTGCGCGGTCTGGGCGCACAGCCCTGCACAGCACACAGGGCTCTGCCCCTCGGAGGAGGAGGTGCTGCGCCCTGGACCCAGCGGCCCCCGACCGCTCCTCCCCCCGCACCCCACGCTGTGTGCCCTGAGCAGCCCCCCGCTCCCTGCACTGGGGGGCTCCGCAGCCCTGCCCCCCACCACACTCAAGTGTTCATGTTGTGTCTGTTTCTGTCTCCGTCTGCCAGGTCCTTGAGGGCGGGGCAGAGGTCTCTCATCTGGTTTTATCCTCAGTGCCCGGCGTGGGGCGCGGGGAGACTCCCTCCCCCCAGTGCAGACGCACCTGTCTTCCCTCCGCACGGACATCCTGGGGTCCCCGGTGCAGAAGGAGAGGAGGGCGGGAGGAAGGAGCAGAGGCTGGGAGGGTCTGAGGGTGACCCGTGGGGTGTTGTCTGTGACCCTGTACACCGCTGCCTGGGGTGGCTGGCGGGGGACCCTGTCCCCTTCCAAGGGCAGCCCAACCACAGAGAGGGTCCCCAGGAGGACGCTCCGAGGCGGAGCATCTCATTTCCTGCAACCCGCTCAACCCGCGAGACTGAGACCTGAGCTGAAATGGAGTCAGACGTTTCACCGACCAAGCCACCCAGGCGCCCCCTAAAATCAGCTCCTAATAAGTACTCGAGGAATGAGTCATCTGAGGGCTGGGGGGAGCCGCACACAGGCACTAAGGATCAGCACTGCCGGGCTGGGCTGGAGGCTGGCGGCGGGTTTCGGGCTGAGCGCTTGTGCCTCACTGGCTCGAAGAAGGAAGCCGGGTTTTCAGGGGGAAATAGAGACTCTCTTTCAGGCACACACGTTCTCGGGTGACGGGGGACATGTCGGGGCCAATGTCACGGTCCACAGCCATCACGGGGTTGGAGAGAGAGAAACGGGGACAGGTCGGCTGCGCGGAGGGGACCTCGGGCCAGCACAGGGGTGGACGTGTGCCCAGGAGGGAAGGTGACCATCGTCACAGGACGGGAAGCGGCAGCGCCGGGGCCACACTGGGCCACCCCTGGGTGCAGAGGGTCTCGGGTGGACTGGGCGTGGGGGCTGGATTTGCAGTTAGAAGCCACCGGCGGCCTCCATTCTGGGTGCCAGGCTTCGCGAGAGTGAGGGTGGACAGGGGGGCGTGGGGAGGGGCGTGGGGAGGGGGGCGTGGGGTACTCACAGAGCCACGCCCGGGGGCCCCCACGCGTGTCCGTGCCGCCCACCCTCGTTCAGCTGGAGCCTCTCCACGTGGCAGCAGAACTTAACGCAGAAAGCGAAGGCGAGGAGCTCGGCGCCCGTCTGCACGCACAGCCTCGCGCCGCGGAAATGGGCCATCGCCTGCGTCAGGAACCCCTCGTCCTGGGTCTCGTACAGACACTGGAGCAGCTGCAGGCAGCCCGGCCGCAGAGAGGGGGGCTGGGCCCGGACCTCGGCCTCCGCCCAGCGCAGGAGCTCCCGCCTCCTGTCCGCCGGCAGCTTGACCTCGAAGACCCGCTCCAAGTGCCGCTCCCCCTGCTCGCTCAGGAGCCCCAACAGGAAGCGCGTGGTCGGGGCCCCAAACAGGTCCCGCCTCCCGTACACCTCTAGCAGGTTTTCGGTCCCCGCGATGCCATCGGGGCGCTGACTCTGCTCCCCCGGCCCCCCCAGCACACAGCGCACGGCCGCAAACAGCTCCTGGAGGCACAGGTGAGTGAAGCCGTAGCTCGGGGAGCAGGGGTGTTTCCGGAGAACGCCGGACTTCACCAGGGTGGAGACGGTGGCCACGTCCAGGCCGTGCTTCCTGAGGTCCCCCCAGCTGAAGAGGCTCCTGCCCCGCCAGACGCCCTCGGCGGCCAGAGAGCAGAGGCCCCTCAGCTGAGCCCCCAGGGGCTGGGCCGGCAGAGCCCGCGACAGGTAGTGCAGACAGAGCGCCGTGGCGGTCCGCGACGCCAGTGCCAGCTCTTGTGCCCGCTCCATCTGCCACCTGAGGCACGTGCAGGCCAGCCAGGCCGCCCAGGGCACCAGGCACATAGTCAAGAGCGCTTGGTTCGATTCCACCAAGCTGAGGGCTCTGGCCGCTTGGCTTTCGTTCTCGAAATACGTGTGGAAGTATTCCGTCCTGGCCGACTCGGAGAACCCCAGGACCTCCACCCACCGAGGCTGCTCCAGGGAAGGGGTGAGCTCGCGCAGCGCTGTGGTCCGCGCCGTGATGAGCAGAGACGCCCCGGGAAGCAGGCGTCCCCCCAGCAGGCCGCCCAGCAGCGCGCGCACCGGCTGCCGCTGGTCCCCGTGCGGGCCCGGCCCGGCCCTCCGCTCCTCCGGCGCCCACTTGGGCTCCCCCAGGTCATCGAGGATGAGGAGCAGGTGCTCTGGCTGGGACAGGATGCGTCCGACGGGAACCCCAGGGCCAGCCCGGCCCTGAGCGACGAGCTCGCTGAGGCTCGCGGCCTCCGAGCGGGCCAGCTCTCTGCAGTTGACGTAGACGACGTGGCGGAAGCGCTCGGTGAACAGCAGGCCTTCCTCCCAGGCTCTCCTCGCCCACCGGGCCACCGTGGACTTCCCGGTGCCAGCGGCGCCGTGCAGCACGACCGTGCGGGGCTCCTCCTGGGCCCCCAGGCCAGGGCCGAACAAGTCTTTGAGCTCAATCAGATGTCCCTGCTTCTCCACCGCCCCGTGGTGCCAGCTGCCCTTGGCTAGGGACTCGTGGCCTCTGGGGTGCGCTCTGTGTAGAAGCAGCAGCTGTGTGAATCTGGGGTGCACGTCCCCATCTTCCCACCACTGTGTGGGGCTGGGCCTCTCTGTCTTCTGGTGCGGATTCCTCTCTCTGAGTTCTACGGGGAGGAGGGAGAGAGGGGGCATAAAGGTATAGGGTAGATCTGTTCCCGCGTTCCTTCACTTGTTCATTCATTCATCCGTTCGTTCATTCATTCATTCAGCAACTGTTTCAGGCACCCACCCTGGGCCGCACGCTGTGCTCCACCCAAGGGCTCCTCTTGGCCGTGATGTCCCCAGGGGCAGAGTAGGAGATCAGGAGGCATCTTCACCGACACTGACCTCAGACGACGGAGCTGCATGGGGATCCTGGACTTTCCTGGACTCAGAGCTGCCACCCCCTCCCCTTCGCACCCACCCACCGATGACGGTATTTCCCAACCAGCACCAGTTCACAGAGTCTGGGAGACATAAATGCTCCATCAAACACACACACATCAACACAGGAGAGGGAATGTGAGAAAATAAAGACACGTGACGGCAGCGAAGAACCACGATACTGTCCCGGCAGTCGGCCCCCAGGACGGAGATCCGCGCGTCACCGAAGAATTCTAAATAAACCTTCCGGGGAGCTCCGCGAGCCAGACCAGAACACAGACAGACACCCAGTGACACCAGGAAAGCCATCCAGGGGCAAAACGAGAAGCTCAACAGAGAGACAGCAATCAAAGCGTGAAAAAGAGTGAAGACACCGTGAAGCAGAGATATTTCCATTCTGGGAGTCCCAGAAGCAGAAGAGAGAGAGAGAGAAAGGGACAGAAAGCTTATTAAAGAAATAATGGTTAAAAACTTCCCACAATTGGAGAAAGATACGGACGTGTTACACGAGGCTCATAGGCCCCGGTGCAGGCTCGATCCACAGAGGACTTCCCTTATCCGCATTCTATTACGGCTGTAAAAACATCAAAGTCAGGGAGAGTTTTTTTTAAATTTTTTTTTTAATTTATTTCTAGGAGAGAGAGAGAGACAGCGTGAGCAGGGGAGGGTCAGAGAGAGAGGGAGTCACAGACTGAAACAGGCTCCAGGCTCTGAGCTGGCAGTCAGCACAGAGCCCGACGCGGGGCTCGAACCCACGAACCGCGAGATCATGACCCGAGCGAAAGTCAGACGCTTAACCGACTAAGCCACCCAGGCGCCCCAAAGTGATAGAGAATTTTGAAAGCGGCAAGAAAAAAATGACTCGTCACAGACAAGGGAACTCCCGTGAGGCCGTACGCAGATTTCTCAGTAGAGACTTTGCGGGTCCAGGTGGGGTGAGCAGACGGATGCACTCACTCGAAGCACCAAGAGAAATACATTGTCAACAAAACCACCTGACCTGGCCAAGCGGTGCTTCAGAAGGAAAGGGGGACCCCTTCCTAGACAGACAAAAGCTCATCACCATCGACCTGATTTATGAGAAACGCTAAAGGGGGTTCTTCCGGCTGAAATGAGAAGATGCTAGTTAGGCGCCGGAAAATGCATGAAAGTATAACCCGCTGGTGAAAGTAAGTGTTTAGGGAAATTCAGGGTGCTCTCGACACTGCGACGTGGGTGTGAATCACTGACCTCAAAATCAATTAATAATTAATTATTTGCAAATGACTAGTCCTCATGCATTTCATATTTGCTTTTTTGTTGCAATGTTTTTGCATTAGTGTGTTTCTATATAATGCCTGCCTCCCCTCCCTTCCTTCCTTTTTCTTTCTTCTTTTCTTTTCGGAATAGATGGTGGTATAACTAATTAAGTCCATCGATCCCCTTGGAGCCTGGGCGCACACATTTCAGGACCAAAATCCGCAAGTTCGCTCCTACTTGGGTGCACAAAGAGTCCTTTGAACTTAACACCTCCCAGATTACAAAGGGGGCATCTCCTAGCATTAGGGGCAGGTCTCGGGGGACGGCTAAGAGGGGCGTCAGGAGCCCCTGAGCCTGTGACTGTCCCCGTTGCCCAGACGGCAGAGGGAATGTGATTCGGGGTTACAGGTGTGGACTGTGGCTTCAGAGAGAAGGACAAGGAGTGAATTCCACCCCGACCTCCAGTGACCGTGAAACCTCACCCTCTGAGCCCAGCCCTTCTCATCTCCGGGATGGGGTGACAGTGACCCCGTCTCATGAGGGAGGGGCTGTGAGACGTGAGTGCACGTGCAGGGAAGCTCCAGGCACGGAGCCGGATGTGTTTCCTGTACCGGCCGACGCACCTGGAGGCAGTGCCTTAGCCGCTGGAGGGGACCCCCCCGCCCCCTGGCAGAGGGGTTTCCGGAGAGGAATGTCATGTGTGCTGGGGACCCCGTGCTCAGCCGGCCTCTGCCCCCCGCCCACCCCGCGCCTGCGGCTCTGTGGGCCTCACCTGCGCTGCGGTTTCCGCACGTATCGGCCTCAGGAGCCTCCTGCTTTCCGGGCTCTGGGCTGGGCGGAAGTGGGGACCCCCAGCGCCCCAGCACCGCTGTGGACGTCGGCGCGTTGGGTGACTCCTGGAATGGTGACTCTTGGTCTGGGGAGCTCGGAAGCGCTTGGAAAAGGGGCCAGGAAGGGTCTCCTGGGGGAAGAGACAGGAAGGAAATTGTCATTTACCAAATATCCATTTTATGTCCGGCCCTGTGTTCTGAGGTCTCACTACAGTCCTTTGGGGCGCGTGTTGGTAATCGGAGGCTTAAAATCATAAAAGTGAGAGGCGCCTGGGGGGCCCAGTGGTTAAGCGTCCGACTTCGGCTCAGGTCATGGTGTCACGGTTCGTGGGTTCAAGCCCCACGTCGGGTCTGTGCTGACAGCTCGGAGCCTGGAGCTGCTTCGGATTCTGTGTCTCCCTCTCCCTCTGCGCCTCATCTGCTCATAGTCTGTCTGTCTCTCTCTCAAAAGTACATAAACATTAAAAATTTTTTTTAAATCATAAAGATGAGAAAAGAAAAACACGTTGCCCTTTGGCATCACCTACCATTTCCCCCAAACCCCAACCACAGCCACACAGGAACCTGTCTTCTTTCTCTGTGCGTCTGCCCATCCTGGGCATCCCATAAAGACGGAGTTACAGGCTATCTGGTCATTTTTACCGGCCTCTTTCACTTCCTGTGTTTTCGAGGGTTTCCCGTGTTGTGGCTTGTATCAGCACTTCATTCTTTCATTGAAAAATAATTTCTGTGTCTGTGTAAACCATATTTTGTTTATCCATTCATCCATCCATTCATCTACATTTGGGTCGTTGGTGTTTTCTGTCTCTTACGAATAATCATAATATGATCCTTCATGTACAAGTTTTTGTGTGAAGATGGCTTTTTGTTTCTCTTGGGAGTGGGTGTGTGGGTGAGGTTTTTTTTGGGGGGAGGGAGGTGATGAAAATGTTCTAAAACTGATGCATAACTCTGTAGTAAAAAGCCATCGAGTTATACACTTTAGAGAGGTGAATTATATCTCAATAAAACTATCGCCAAAAAGAATCGTTAAGGTGGAAGACACAATTGTATCCTCTTAGTAGCTGGTCTGAAACTTCCTTCTGGTGAAAACTTGTATTAGGTAAAGATATTTAAAAAAGTATTTTAAAATGTTTATTTAGTTTTGAGAGAGAGGGAGAGAGAGAGACAATGAGTGAGGAGAGGGGCAGAGAGAGAGGGAGACACAGAATCCGAAGCAGCTCCAGGCCGTCAGCACAGAGCCCGACGCGGGGCTCGAACCCACAAACCGTGAGATCATGACCTGAGCCGGAGGCAGCTGCTCAACCGCCTGAGCCCCCCAGGCGCCCCTGGGTAGCGAGATTTTGATAAGCCACGTGGGGAGGGGCGAATGCCTCATTTCAGGGACAAGTACTTACTAAGTGGCATCTGGAGCCGCGAGAGCAAGCTGGGGCCGGGCGGAATTGCTGTGTCATGGCTACCACACAGGGAGAACCAGGGGGACCGGGTGGCACACGGGGGTGGCTGGGGAGAGGGATCCTGGTGGGTGGGGGCACCGGAGGGGCACCTGTGGGGGGGATGTGAGCGGTCTAACCCCCTCCCCCACAGCAGGGTCTACACCACGAGCTCCCACTTCTGTGAGGCTGGGAGTCACAGAGGCGCCAACTTGGTGCTGTGGGTGGGGGGGGTGGAGGGGAGATGAGCGGCATCAGGCTGTGGGGACGTGGGGGGGGGATGCTCTGACCTGCTCTGGTCACACGGCAAGCCGGGAGGTCGGGGGAACCACAGGGAACCCCGTGGAGCTGGAGCCTGGGGGCCACGGGGAAGGGAAAGCAGAGGAGCCGCAAGCTTGGCGGTGAGGACGCGCACGGGGTGGCAGCGGGAAGGGCTGGCTCTGGGCCCCCATCCTGGCTCTGGGTGCAGAGCGGCCCTTCAAGCCCCGGGCCGACCTCCCCCCCCCCCCCCCCCAGCAGGATGAGAAGGGGAAGGGACAGGGTGTGGTTGGCCTGTGGCCGGGTGACTCAGGACGGTGGAGGCTGCCCTAAGAGAAGTCAGGACAGGGAACTACGTGGGGCTGAGGAGCGAGCCTGCCCTCCTCCTAGGGTTCACCTGGAGGGAAAAGACCTCCCGGAACCTTCTGGACCACCCTGACCCCCAGGACCTCCGGAGTCCACCGAGATAACAACTGAGCTCCGCCCGGGGGGGACTGTGTCGCTCGGCGCCCGATGCCTGCCCTGCCTGGGTTTCACGTCCCCGTCTCTCCCTTCAGAGGGGGTGTCATCTCAGCGCTGGAATCTTCCAGAAGATCCCCGCTAGGCCTCTGTCGGCACCACCTCGGCCTGGCTCCCACACCCTCCTCTCCTTTCCTCCACGCGGAGCCTCATGCAGACACAGGCTCACGGGGTGGAGCCCCCCCCCCAGCCCGGGGTCCCAGGCGCACAGCCAGCCTTACCCCTCCAGCTGTGCACAGTCGTGCCCGGCGGGTGGCCCGGGTGCCTTCCATCCGGGTCCGGCAGGAGCCTCAGCACCTCGGTGGAGGTGGGCCGGCTGGGGGACGGCACGGAGGGCGAGCTCGGGGAGCAGGGGAACCAGGAAGAGGAAGTCTCGGCTGCGGGATGCAGACAGAGAGGGGACTTATCGCGGGAGGGGTGGGAGCCGGGGGGTGCTGAGACCTGGGTTCTCCGAACAAAGGGGGGCTCCCCTCCCCATCCCCTTCCCCTCCCCCCCCCATCTCAGGCAGGAGAGGCCGGGAGACTCCCTGCAGCAGAGCTGTATTCATCGCGCACCCGCTAGGTGCTGGGCTCTGTGCAAAACGTTTCCCGTGGGTTGTGTCTTTAACCCTCGAGCAGCGCGGAGTCAGGCTTTTACGCCCCTGTTTTGCAGATGGGGAAACAGAGGCAGAGAGCTGTGAAGGGGCTGCCCGCGCGCAACACGAGCCAGGCAAGCGCGCCTGGGCGCTGGGTGTGAGCTGAGGCCTCCCTGTCACGCCCGTGTGGACACGCCGGCCACCAGCCCCTTCCCTCCCGGCGCTTCGAGGACCCCGCAGGGGCTGGAAGAGCCCTTGGCTGCAGGGGGGTCCCGAGTCGCCACCCACAGGAAGGCCTGGCTGGGGGCGGGGTCAGGGGTGGGGGGCCCAGGGGCGGAGAGAGGGCGCCTGAGCTCGCACCTGCCGTCAGGGCCGCCTCCTCCCGGGCCTGCGCGCACAGCCGGCTCAGCCCCATCCCCTCCCAGGTGCGGAGGGCCAGGTGCCAGGCCTGCCGCCCCCCATGCTGGGCCACCAGGCACGAAGCCACCTCCACGTGGCCCTCCTCGCCCCGCTGGGCCAGGGTGGCCCTGGAGGGTCCGCCGAGCTCCTTCTCCCCGAGCCCGAGTCGAAGCCGGAACTCGCGCAGCTGCTCCCTCCTCATCATCGACAAATACCAGGCCAGCCGCCACTCCGCTCCGCCGGCCATGTGCGCGGTCGCGGGGCCTCCGGGCTGTCCCTGGAGGGGGGGCTGGTGGAGGGCGCAGGGGGGCGTCAGGCAGGCAGGATGGCCTCGCCCCTGCCCGCCCCAGGGGAGGCTCACTGGGATCATTCCTCTGGGCCCTCGAACTCCTCTTCAACAGTCAGAACCCCGTGGTGCAAGCCCCGGGGCATCTGCTGTCAGTGGCCAGAAGGGGGGGGCAGCGGTGGGAAGGAAGAGGTGCTCAGAGGGGCCCGGAGCGGCCGGGGGACCCCGGGGCACTGGCTCAGCCAGACTCACCCTTCTGTGGCCGCAGGGTCCTCGCCTGAGCCTGGCAGGCAGTGGGTGGGGGGCGCGTAGAGGCAGAGCAGAGGGGGGGCTCCTGGAGCCTCAGGGTGAGCTCAGAGCCACGCGCTCCAGGGCCTCGGGGGCCCCTCTTGGCCCCGGGACGCTGACCACGACCGCGGGGAGAACAGCCGCGGGGCCGTCAGAGCGGGACCCAAGTCACCAGGGGGAAACCACTCCGGGAGGTGCCCGGAGGGGGCGGGGCGGGGGCGGGGCCGCCGCGGGGGCAGGGGCGGGGCCACATCCAGGGGGCACCGCGGGGGGGGCAGGGGGGCCACATCCAGGGGCCACAGCGGGGGGTTGAGGGGCAAATCCAGGGGGCACGGCGGGGGGGCGGGGGGGGCACATCCAGGGGGCACAGCGGGGGGTTGAGGGGCACATCCAGGGGGCACAGCGGGGGGTTGGGGGGCACAGCGGGGGGTTGGGGGGCACATCCAGGGGCCACGGCGGGGGTGTTGGGGGGGCACATCCAGGGGGCGGGGCGGGGGCGCAGACCCACGCGGCGTCCACCAGTCAGTCCATCACGCAGATCCCGCTCGGCCGCGGCCGTGGACTCTCGGGGCAGGGGGGCCGGGGTCCTGGCCGGCGCTCGGGGTGGGTGGGGTCCCATCCTGCGAGCGAGTCACCGGGGCAGCTCTTGATGGAAACGCCCAGCCCCTCCGCCTCCAGTTCTGGAGGCTTCCCGAGCCCCTCATGCACACCCTGGCACAACACGGGGGGGCGGTGGGGCGGGGCTTGGGTTCCGGCTGGCGCTGCCTTCCACCCGAAAGCGGAACAGCCGCCCTCCCATCGCCACCAAGCCAGGCCCCTGGGGTGAGGGGCGCAGGCCATCTTCCTCTTTGGTCGAATTGGCACAAGTCAGGGACTCTATGACCCTGTTGTGTAACGTTCTGGAGATGCCTGGGGACCTCCCCCCCCCCCCACTCCACCTCCCTGCCGGGCTGGTTCATTCCTCCTAGCCTCAGTTTGCTGATACGTTCAATGGGACAGCAAAGGTTTGCCCAGAGGCTCAGTTTAAGCAAAAGCTCTTAGTAACCTTAAAAGCCATTATATAAATATGAGTGTTCTTTTTTTGTTGTTTGTTTGTTTTTTGTAACGGCCAGTTAGCACACTGGGGGAGACCTATCAAGGGTGGAGGGTGGGAGATCGGGGTGTCTGAGCCCTCCAGGAGGGACCCCAAGAGCCTGGCCTGGAGAAGGACAGCAATGACAGCAGCTGCGTCTGATACGAGCTCTGGGGACCGAATCCGGCAACCCTGACTTCCGACACTCACTGCCGGGGTTGGCGCAGGGCCTGTGGGTTCCGGGCTCGGCCTGCTTCAGGGGTCAGGTGCAGACAGGGCGTCGACGTCACCCACCCTGCTGCCTGATTTGGTGACACATTCAGGGGTCCCCCAGCCCCTTTCCAGGCTTGCTGTTTGCGATTTGTTAGAATGGCCCCCAGGACCCAAGAAAACACCTTACGTGGCGGTTTATCATCAAGACTCAGGAACGGCGACACGGAAGGCGTGCAGAGGGCAGGGGGTGGGGGGCTGGGGGTGGCGCCCCACCTGCCTGGAACCCCACGCACTCTCGGCCGGACCCTCTGCGAACCCCGCCGTTCAGGGCTTCCACGGAGGCCTCGTTTCGTAGCTGCGGTTGAGTAAAGCCTTGGCCTCCGTGAAGAGCCTGTCCTCTGGCCCCTCAACCGGGAGGTCCTGCCTCGGACTTGGGGTGACCAGCGTCCACCCTGAAGTTCCCGGGGACCCAGCCGCCTGTCATCTCATTAGTATACAGCGTGAGGTTCTAAGGGTTTAAGGAGCCGTGTGCCAAGACCTGCGGACAAAACCCAAATATTTATTTCTTGTCACTCACAAGGCGGTTCCTCGGGTTTCAGGAAACGAGGGAGACGCCGGGTGCCGGAGGCCGGGAGCAGGCGGAGACACGTGCTTCCTCAGTGCACGAGCCGGTCAACGTCCGCGCTGCCCAGCGACCTGTCCCCACCGCCCGTGAAAGTGCTATATGCTGGGGCACTGCACAGGGGCTTAAAGTAAGTCATCGACTCACCCCCTCCCCTTTTTTATTTCGCCTGTCAAAACCCTACTCATTGCTTTAAATGTCTATTAATTTTTGAGAGAGAGAGAGACAGCGTGAGCAGGGGAGGGTCAGAGAGAGAGGGGGACACAGAATCGGAAACAGGCTCCAGGCTCTGAGCGGTCAGCACAGAGCCCGACACGGGACTCGAACCGACACGGGGCTCGAACCCACGAACCGTGAGATCATGACCGAGCCGAAGTCAGACGCTTAACCGACGAAGCCACTCAGTCACCTTATTTTTACTTTATTTTTAAACGGCCAACCCAAATGGCGCCACTTCCATGAAGCCTTTCCTGCTTGACCTCCCGTCCACTGTTGCCTTGTGTTTCCGCCCTCAGTGCCTGGAGGCGAGTAGCTGCAGGGAAAGCACAGGGCGCTTGGGTCTGGTGGGTCTGGGGTTTTCGGACGGCTCTGTCTCCAGCTGACCGTGACCCTGGACAGCATCTGGGTATCTTGTCTGTAAGGTGAGGAAATGACAGCCACGTCCCCAAGTACTTGTGACGGTTCCACAAACAGATGTGAACGCGCCGTGCATGGGACGGGGCGGAGGGTCAAGAAACGTCATTTAGCTTCTCCTTCTTCTGAAGATGGTGGGTTCGTCGGAGGCAGGTAGCTGAGTCTGCTCTTTCTTTTTTTTTTTTTTTTGCACCTAGAAAACGAGCTCCCCGGTTTGCACAGCCTTGGCATTCAGATAAGATATTTAGTGAAGAAATGATTTAAAACATTACTGCAATTTTACGTATGTATATATGTGCGTAAGCAGGCCCCACGCCCAACGCGGGGCTTGAACTCACCACCCCGAGATCAAGACCTGAGCTGAGATCGGGTCGGGTGCTTCACCGACTCAGCCGCCCAGGTGCCGCTATTGCTTCAATTTTAATTTCACAAGTAGGATGTGAGCACACCTTCATCCTGGAAACTTCAACCACTGCGGATGCTGCTTCGCCCAGTCAGCGCTGTTCCAATGTGCTCTGTGTGCTTCCAGACAGACCCACACGTGGATCTATATAAAGTATGTAGCTTTTCGTCCGACTTCCGCTCGGGTCAGGATCTCACCGTTCGTGGGTTCGAGCCCCGCGTCGGGCTCTGTGCTGACAGCTCGGAGCCTGGAGCTGCTTCAGATTCTGTGTCTCCCTCTCTGTCTGCCCCTCCCCCGCTCACACCCTTTCTCTGTCTGAAAAATAAACATTAAGAAAACTATGTAGCTTTGCTGGTAACACTATGTTTTATTGTGCAACATGCTTACCTTTCTGCACTGTGAGTACCTGATGCCTCAGAGGCGGGCGTGGCGGGGAGCCTTTGGGGTACCCCCTTGTCCCCCGGGACAGAGATCTGCAGCCGGCACGTGCCCTTTGCACTTGGTAAAAGCCAGCAAACCAGCCTTCCCGAGGCTGCGGCCTTGACCCCGTCCAGCCGAGGAGGGAACGCCTCTCCCCCATACCCCCACCCCAGCGGACGTGGGGCAGGTGCGGTTCCCGTGGGGCAGGGGGCTCCCGTTGGAGCCTGGACCCCCTGACGACTGTGGGGTTGGCTGCGGGGACGCCCGGCCCCGGCGGCTCCCAGACCCCCGCCAGCCTCACTGGGTCCACGGCCTCCGCAGTGACCCCACGTCTGTGTCTCTGGCCCCCATCGCATCTCTGGATTCCAGGTGTCTGTCTAACCCCTCCGCCTGCTGGGGCGTCCCCTCCTCACCCTCCCCGCCAGCCTCTCTGCTCCCACGGCCTCCCCACGTCAGGCAGTAAGTGCTCGGGCCCCAGACGCTGCGCTGTCCCTCGACTCCTCTCTCTCGAGCCCCACGTCCAGAGCCTGACTTCACGCTGCGCTCGCGGGGCCCAGCCAGCCGCCCTCTCCTGCCCGGATCGCTGCAGTAGCGCCTCACCGCCCCCACCCCCGACTCGGATGTTGCCCCTTTGCCGTCTGCTTTCCGTCTGGTTGCCAGAATCCGCCGCTTAAATCATAAAACAGGCCAGGTCACTTCTCCGCTCAGAACCTCGCGATGCTCCCCATTTCCCTCTGGGCAAAACCCAAGTCCCACCTTGTGTTTCCGCCCTCACGAGGCCCCTGGGGTCTCTCTGGCTCTCCTGCCTGTGTCTCCTCCGTCTCCTTTCTGTTCCTTGAACACACCAAGAACACTCACCCCAGGGCCTTTGCACCACCTCTCCTCTCAGGAGGATTTCTCCAGGTGGCAGAAGGCCTGTTGGCTCTCCTCCTGTGGAGCAGCACCCCTCCCGCCCCCAGACCCCTGACACCACCCGGCCTCACGGGTGTGCTCGCCGGCTTCCTCTTACCCTCAGCTGCCAGGAAGATTTTCGCTCCCTGAAGGCGCGGAGAGCACCTTGCTGACCCGTGGCGGTACTGGCCGCGGCGGTATCGGCGCCACAGGAGCTGAACTCTCCGGTGCCTCTCTGTCCTGCGCACTGTGACCACCGGATGGCGCGCTAGCACTTTCTGTGCCTCGGAGCCGCCACAGGTGCGTTCCCTCCGGGTCTGGATGTTTCCTTCCTAGTTCTGCGGCCTCAGGTCTCTGCTCCCTGCCTTATGTTTCAGGGCCTTTTAGGAACATGTTAAAGTTTTATTTTTTACTCTACTTATTTTTTATTTTATTCAAATA